ATGATCAAATTTGAAACCTTTTTTGTACTTTGGTTCTTGCATAAATAACATCTTTGCTCGAACTAACTGCAAATTATAGTGAACATCAAGTTATGTATTTTAACAATAATAATAAATTTCAAACGATAATTAATAAAATACTTACAATATCTTCATCAGAAGCACCACTTGGATTTAGATTCTCTACTTGTCTTAAGCACGCATTCAATTTTCTTACTTCATTACTTATGATTTCCATTCGAGAACGAATTGATCGGCTCGTACGCACCTCAAAATGCTGATCTCGAAGTTCATTGTATTTGTCCTCCACATGAGACCAAAATGCATCTCGAGACTGGTTTCTACCGATAATAGGGTTTTGAGAAATATCCAAGAATACTTGAAAAAGGAGCACATCTTCAGTAACCATGTATCCAGATAACCGAACAGACATTTTTTTGTAAAAAGCGGTTGGTTTGAAGATTAGAAATACTTTGAAGAGATACTTCGAATTGGGTGGTTTGAAGTAGAATTTGTGAATGTTATTTATAGCCAATCCAATTTTGTTTTTTTGTTTGAATTTGAATTTGAATTTGAATTTGTCGGTGGTCAACATTTAAAATTGAATCGTTGTGTACAAACTGATCAGCTTTACACATTGTCCAACGTTATCGGTGGGAATTAATTTTTTGAATCAGGTCAGCTTTACACATTGTCCAACGTATACACAGCTCAGCTTTCCTTGAATTGTGTGAAAGCTTTATACGAGTGGGAATCAATTTTTAAAACCAGGTCAGCTTTACACATTGTCCAACGTATACACAGCTCAGCTTTCCTTGAATTGTGTGAAAGCTTTATACGAGTGGGAATTAATTTTTGAAACCAGGTTAGCTTTACACATTGTCCAACGTATACACAGCTCAGCTTTTCTTGAATTGTTCAATGTATACAGCTAAGCAAAGTTTTATAAATAGCATACTAGATTAGGTACATCCACATAATTACTCGTTGTTGTGTTAAAATTATTATTCTCCATTTCTGCATCTTCAGTCATTCTTTTCTTACTTCAAAAATAAATTTCGATGCTAGAGGTCTATCATATTTATCATCATCTTCATCTTCGGATGATGATAATTTTTCGTCCAATATCATTGCAGAGATTGATGAAACCGAAGAAGTAATTTGTGAGTACATCAACAACAACATGATTCTCGCTAACAATTTACGTCAACAAAACTAACAAGCGATCCATGGTGGCTCGATTCCCGGTCATGCAGTGATCAACCGTGATCGAGAAACTACGCATCAGAATTTGGTCATAGATTACTTTGCCGATAATCCACATTTTGGAGAAGATATGTTTCATCGTCGATATCGGATGTCAAGAAGTTTGTTCCTTCGTATTGTTGATGTAGGCGTCTAAAAATACCTATGGGTGTCCGTACACGGCTCGAGACAGAGAGAAGATGATAAACGTCGCTATTAGAGTCGCAGGAGCTCGTTTGACAATGACAAACACATGAAGTGAGTCGACGGGTCATACGAAGCAACGAAACTTCGGAATAACGGAAACGAGAGCTGATCGGGAGCCCCGCGTCGTTTACAAAAGGCGGATCACCCATCGTGTCCTATTTATTCCACATATGATTCAATTATGGGAGCCCGTAGATCTCCTCGTCGGCTTTCCAACGCATTTTGAATCGCCTCATTCCGAAGTCGGATGAGTGAGTTAAGGCTGTTACAGTACCCGCGGGTCAGAATTTTGCTACAGTAACAGCGGGTCGGAAATTGCTACAGTAACAACGGGTCGGAAATTTTCCGGCCCGCGCTACAGTAACCACGGGTCGATTTTTCCTGCGCGCGCTGTTTCGACCCCGGTTCGGTTTTTGACGGTTTTTCTCGGGATTTGGTCGTTCCTGAGCATCCAAACTGACTTGATATCATCCCCTAGCATGGTTAATCAGTTATTAACTGAAGATAAGGTCAAATCACTTGTTCTCATCCAAATAACCGCTTCTGAAGCTTATAAATATGAGCCCGGGTCCTCCTTTCAGAGGGGGGAGTTATTATCAAGATGTGGAGGTGCTGCTGGATTGAGGAGTCAAGGAGCACGAATTTCAGCGAAGGAAAATCAGATCCCGGTGAACTTCGGCATAAAGAAGGAGCTATTCGAAGGATCTGAACCCCGTCCGTCCGTCCATTGAGATTAGGCTTGGTCTTAATCTTGAGAAGAGCCCTGATTTCGCTTGTTCGATTTCAGCGCTTCAAATCAAATACTTCCTCGGCGAAGGCGAAGCTCTGTCGAATTTTCCATCAACCAGATCCAGATCTAAGGCGGTCCACGGATAAACCCCGGCACAGGCAAAGATCCCACGCAAAGCAGCAGGTGATAAACATCCTCTGCGTTTGTTTTGACGAGAGTTGTAAACTTTTGTTTTCATTGTGTAAAAGTCGTATAAAAAGACAATCTTTTTTTTTTGTTTTCATTGTAACGATTGAAGTTGTAATGAATACCGCAATGAATACATTAATTTTCAACGCAAACAGTTGATGCAGTGAAAGATCATGACTATTACTTCCAACAACGAAGTGATGGACTTGGTAGAATGGGATTATCACCGTTACAGAAAGTAACAGATGTTTTTCGTA